GATTGACAAGGGGCGGGCGCTTACGTTCTTCCTGCAACATGAGAAGGGAGGGAGGGACTCTCAGCAGGGATGCAGTCTGGGACACGTAGTTGCAAACCTAGCGACTTTGTTGTTAGATTCAATGACTTTTCAGACCCCCTAACGACTTTTTTTAGAAAGAAAGGGACTTTTATCGACTTCTTCTGGAGTTTAGAGACTCTGACATGAAGCAGGCTTTCCTTACTGAGGAGTTAGCAACGCTGCTAAGGGTGCAGAGCCACACATGCGCTCAGAGCTCTGCATGGGAGACTGAAGCTGACAGAGCTGCAGCAGTTAGCAGGTTTCACCCTCAGAGACCACCAGGGGTTCATGTTGAGGCATTTTAATTTTTTTTTTTTTTTGTGCCATAGACACTGTCAGCACAATCTGCAGTTACACTAACAAAAATGCTGCAAAAAACAAAGAATTATGGAAAAATTACACATGGACTGACATAGAGGAGGATCTACACAAGTTTTTTACATCATGTTTTACATCATGCATCATTTACATCATGTTTTTTTGTAGTGGCATAAATAAAAAGTGACATTTGTGAGACTATACAGTGTTTTGTAAATAATTTTACAAAGAACGCCTGGGCCATTGCCTGCATTTTGATGTAAATAGAGGTAAATCACTATGTTCTTTGTTAAAAATTTGCATATGTTTTGAAGTTTACAATTTTTATTTGAAGTTTAAGTTTTAAAAACAGTTCATCACACATATTTGTGGTTTTCACAGTAAAAATGTTACTTTTTTCCACTCGGATTTTATGTTTTGTGTGTGAATTTGGGTCCATTGTGTAAATTCAGTATGTCAACATGATAAAATAACTGTAAATTCGCACAGGTGAGGTTGTGCTGAAAAAAATGATACCAGGCAAGGCACGTGATTGTCAAATTTTGTGTCAATATGACAAAGCGTATAGGCGTGAATCTCAACAATATGTATTTTCACCTTAGGGGACAAGAAAAAATGGACTTTTTTCTCCTGCCATGGGGGGCGCTCTTTTGGGGAGTAAAAATTCCTTCACAAATGTGTTGATGGCTGGACATTGCATCATCCTAGAAAACTTGGAGGCCAGTGAGGACAAAAATAAAAAGTTATAAGACTTTTAAATATGTGGATTTTAGGGTTATCTTTGGCGCCCCCTAGAACCTAAACCGTGGGGTGCAGCGTCATGATTTGAATAACTTTTAATGGCCATGGGGTGTAGATTGGCCTGAGCAAATGTGGTGCCGGTGGAACGAAAGCCTTAGGAGGAGTTAGCCACATTCCAATGTGTGCGGATCGGCAAAAAATGCGGAATAACCCTTTAACCGTACATTTGACAGATACGCGCGCATTGACTTTTTCGTAGATCTTATTGAGTTACATGTGTGTGTCAATTTTTGTGTCATTTTGACAAAGCGTATAGGCGTGACACTCAACAGTGTGTATTTTCACCTTAGGGGACAAGAAAAAATGGACTTTTTTCTCCTGCCATGGGGGGGCGCTCTTTTGGGGAGTAAAAATTCCTTCACAAATGTGTTGATGGCTGGACATCGCATCATCCTAGAAAACTTGGAGGCCAGTGAGGACAAAAATAAAAAGTTATAAGACTTTTAAATATGTGGATTTTAGTGTTATCTTTGGCGCCCCCTAGAACCTAAACCTTGGGGTGCAGCGTCATGATTTTGATAACTTTTAATGGCCACGGGGTGTAGATTGGCCTGAGCAAATGTGGTGCCGGTGGAACGAAAGCCTTCGGAGGAGTTAGCGAAATTCCAATGTGTGCAGATCGGCAAAAAATGCGAAATAACCCTTTAACCGTAATTTTGACAGATACGGCCGCACTGACTTTTTTGTAGATCTTATTGAGATACATATGTGTGTCAATTTTTGTGTCAATATGACAAAGCGTACAGGCGTGACAGTCAATAGTGTGAATTTCCACCTTAGGGGGCGCTATGGAGCCATTTTGCATTTTATTGTTTGGGCGACTTCAGAATATCGAATTTTTCACCAGGCCCGGTCGTCCTGCCAAATTTCATGAGTTTTCGCCAGTGGGAAGTGGGCCATTTTCCAGTTCAAAGGGGAGGAAAAAGAAGAAAGAAAGAAAGAAAGAAACAAAGAAAAACCACTTGGAGAATAATAGGGCTCTCGCAGCTGCTTAGCAGCTACGCTCGGGCCCTAACTAGGACCCCGGTGGGGCACTGTCGGGCCCGAGCCGCATCGCGCCGCCCCCAGCGCGACCGCCTCCCCCTTCCGATCGCGTCACACTCAAGGTCCAAAGATGGTGTGCGCACTTGTCTGTGGTCATTTCCCATTATAATGAATGAGAGGCGCAGTTTCTACCAAAACACTTGCTGCAGACAAACTTCATGTCCTATTTGAAAAAAGTCTGGACCATGAGTGAGGGCACAAACACAGCTAGGATATATCCAAATGGCAGGTTGCTCCTCGTTACGGTGTTGCCGGGAGAGTGATGCGATTGAGCCATTGAGTGATGGGCAGGAAAAACTTGACTGTTTCTCCTGCCATGGGGGTTGGGGGATGGGGGGGGGGATGTGGATTCTTTTAAGAATGTGGATATTTGGGTCATCTTTGGCGCCCCCTAGAACGTAAACCGTGGGGTGCAGCGTCATGATTTTTACAACTTTGAATGGCCATGGGGTGTAGATTGGCCTGAGCAAATTTGGTGTCAGTGGGACGAAAGCCTTAGGAGGAGTTAGCCACATTCCAATGTGTGCGAATCGGCAAAAAATGCAAAATAGCCCTTTAACCGTACATTTGACAGATACGCGCGCATTGACTTTTTCGTAGATCTTATTGAGATACATGTGATTGTCAAATTTTGTGTCAATATGACAAAGCGTACAGGTATGACAGTCAACAATGTGTTTTTTCACCTTATGGGACAAGAAAAAATGGACTTTTTTCTCCTGCCATGGGGGGGCGCTCTTTTGGGGAGTAAAAATTCCTTCACAAATGTGTTGATGGCTGGACATTGCATCATCCTAGAAAACTTGGAGGCCAGTGAGGACAAAAATAAAAAGTTATAAGACTTTGAAATATGTGGATTTTAGGGTTATCTTTGGCGCCCCCTAGAACCTAAACCGTGGGGTGCAGCGTCATGATTTGAATAACTTTTAATGGCCATGGGGTGTAGATTGGCCTGAGCAAATGTGGTGCCGGTGGAACGCCAGCCTTAGGAGGAGTTAGCGAAATTCCAATGTGTGCGGATCAGCAAAAAATGCGGAATAACCCTTTAACCGTACATTTGACAGATACGCGTGCATTGACTTTTTCGTAGATCTTATTGAGATACATGTGTGTGTCAAATTTTGTGTCAATATGACAAAGCGTACAGGCGTGACACTCAACAATGTGTATTTTCACCTTAGGGGACAAGAAAAAATGGACTTTTTTCTCCTGCCATGGGGGGGCGCTCTTTTGGGGATTAAAAATTCCTTCACAAATGTGTTGATGGCTGGACATTGCATCATCCTAGAAAACTTGGAGGCCAGTGAGGGCAAAAATAAAAAGTTATAAGACTTTTAAATATGTGGATTTTAGGGTTATCTTTGGCGCCCCCTAGAACCTAAACCGTGGGGTGCAGCGTCATGATTTGAATAACTTTTAATGGCCATGGGGTGTAGATTGGCCTGAGCAAATGTGGTGCCGGTGGAACGAAAGCCTTCGGAGGAGTTAGCGAAATTCCAATGTGTGCGGATCGGCAAAAAATGCAGAATAACCCTTTAACCGTACATTTGACAGATACGCCCGCACTGACTTTTTTGTAGATCTTATTGAGATACATGTGTGTGTCAATTTTTGTGTCAATATGACAAAGCGTAAAGGCGTGACAGTCAATAGTGTGAATTTCTACCTTAGGGGGCGCTATGGAGCCATTTTGCATTTTCTTGTTTGGGCGACTTCGGAATATCAAATTTTTCACCAGGCCCGGTCATCCTGCCAAATTTCATGAGTTTTCGCCAGTGGGAAGTGGGCCATTTTCCAGTTCAAAGGGGAGGAAAAAGAAGAAACTAGGGCCCCGGTGGGGCACTGTCGGGCCCGAGCCGCGTCGTGCCGCCCCCAGCGTGACCGCCTCCCCCTCCCGATTGCGTCACACTCAAGGTCCAAAGATGGTGTGCGCACTTGTCTGTGGTCATTTCCCATTATAATGAATGGGAGGCGCAGTTTCTACCAAAACACTTGCTGCAGACAAACTTCATGTCCTATTTGAAAAAAGTCTGGACCATGAGTGAGGGCACAAACACAGCTGGGATATATCCAAATGGCAGGTTGCTCCTCGTTACGGTGTTGCCTGGAGAGCGATGCGATTGAGCCATTGAGCGATGGGCAGGAAAAACTTGACTTTTTCTCCTGCCATGGGGGGGGGAATGTGGATTCTTTTAAGAATGTGGATTTTTGGGTCATCTTTGGCGCCCCCTAGAACGTAAACCGTGGGGTGCAGCGTCATGATTTTTACAACTTTGAATGGCCATGGGGTGTAGATTGGCCTGAGCAAATTTGGTTTCAGTGGGACGAAAGCCTTAGGAGGAGTTAGCCACATTCCAATGTGTGCGAATCGGCAAAAAATGCAAAATAGCCCTCTAACCGTACATTTGACAGATACGCACCCATTGACTTTTTCGTAGATCTTATTGAGATACACGTGATTGTCAAATTTTGTGTCAATATGACAAAGCGTACAGGTGTGACACTCAACAATGTGAATTTTCACCTTAGGGGACAAGAAAAAATTGACTTTTTTCTCCTGCCATGGGGGGCGCTCTTTTGGGAGTAAAAATTCCTTCACAAATGTGTTGATGGCTGGACATTGCATCATCCTAGAAAACTTGGAGGCCAGTGAGGACAAAAATAAAAAGTTATAAAACATTTAAGAATGTGGATTTTTGGGTTATTTTTGGCGCCCCCTAGAACCTAAACCATGGGGTGCAGCATCATGATTTGAATAACTTTTAATGGCCATGGGGTGTAGATTGGCCTGAGCAAATGTGGTGCCGGTGGAACGAAAGCCTTCGGAGGAGTTAGCGAAATTCCAATGTGTGCGGATCGGCAAAAAATGCGGAATAACCCTTTAACCGTACATTTGACAGATACGCGCGCATTGACTTTTTTGTAGATCTTATTGAGTTACATGTGTGTGTCAATTTTTGTGTCATTTTGCCGAAGCGTACAGGTGTGACACTCAACAATGTGTATTTTCACCTTAGGGGACAAGAAAAAATGGACTTTTTTCTCCTGCCATGGGGGGCGCTCTTTTGGGGAGTAAAAATTCCTTCACAAATGTGTTGATGGCTGGACATTGCATCATCCTAGAAAACTTGGAGGCCAGTGAGGGCAAAAATAAAAAGTTATAAGACTTTTAAATATGTGGATCTTAGGGTTATCTTTGGCGCCCCCTAGAACCTAAACCGTGGGGTGCAGCGTCATGATTTGAATAACTTTTAATGGCCATGGGGTGTAGATTGGCCTGAGCAAATGTGGTGCCGGTGGAACGAAAGCCTTCGGAGGAGTTAGCGAAATTCCAATGTGTGCGGATCGGCAAAAAATGCGAAATAACCCTTTAACCGTACATTTGACAGATACGCCCGCACTGACTTTTTTGTAGATCTTATTGAGATACATGTGTGTGTCAATTTTTGTGTCATTTTGACAAAGCGTACAGGCGTGACAGTCAATAGTGTGAATTTTCACCTTAGGGGGCGCTATGGAGCCATTTTGCATTTTCTTGTTTGGGCGACTTCGGAATATCGAATTTTTCACCAGGCCCATTCGTCCTGCCAAATTTCATGAGTTTTCGCCAGTGGGAAGTGGGCCATTTTCCAGTTCAAAGGGGAGGAAAAATAATAATAATAACAAAAGAAGGAAACATGCAGGAACAAGAGGGCTCTCGCAGCTGCTTAGCAGCTACGCTCGGGCCCTAACTAGGACCCCGTTGGGGCACTGGCGGGCCCGAGCTGTGTCGCGTCCCCCCCCCCAACGCGCTGCCTCCCCGTCCCATTTGTGTCCTCTGGCCATCGCCCTCTCTGGTAACGCCCATCACTGCAAAGACCCTTTTCCTTCATCGGCGTTTGCTGTTCTTCCTGCCAGTGCGTGTTGCTTTCACTTACACTTGCCACAGCCAGCCTCGTGAGTGCCTAGCCTATTGGATATCACTGTCACCTACACAGGACAGTCATTACCTTTCTATTAATACTTTGTTTTTTAATTTCACATTAATTTCCATATTGTATAAACAACTGGAAAAAACTTGAGCCCCTGCCCCTGTATAATCATGTGCACGTCTCTGTTCTAGCTCTAAGGTGAATCTTCACTGCTCATGTTCTCCTCAGAAGCAGTCACCTCACTCCCCTCAGGTTACTGTACACATGCACCAACTGCCTGCTTCAGGTTTGGATGGAGCTTCATGGTTGTCTTTTGGAGAAATGACCAGTCAAGTTGTGTTTGAAATTTGATTTTTTTCAGGGGCAAAAGGAGCCTCTGCATTCTTGTCAAATATGTAAATAGCATGTTTTTGCAGGTGCTAAAAACCAGACTCTGAGTGTGTGTGTGTGCGTGTGTTTGTGTGTGTGTGTGTGTGTGTGTGTGTGTGTGTGTGCGTTCAAGTCACATGACATATTTAACCGGATGTAGCTGCAAGACGGAGCCTCGTTGACTATCCGTTTCAATTTATCTCAAAAGTGAGGACCTCAACCTATATACCAGTTTTTAAATTGTGTTGATAGGCCAAATAAAACCAGAGTTATGATAAATTATGTCCACGATACTTGTTTTCTGCTTATTTTGATCACGTTCGGCGCTCGATCGCGCTGTATGAGACAGGAAAACATAGCATGCAGACATTAGCGACAGGTCTTACAGGCGGAAAAGGCTTGCCAAAGGAAAAAAAAAAACACACCACAACATCTCTCCTATTGGTGGAAAACTTCACCACAACAACCAATCCAAAATTATATGGTGACTGATTGACAAGGGGCGGGAACTTACGTTCTTCCTGCAATATGAGAAGGGAGGGAGGGACTCTCAGCAGGGATGCAGTCTGGGACACGTAGTTGCAAACCTAGCGACTTTGTTGTTAGATTCAATGACTTTTCAGACCCCCTAACGACTTTTTTTAGAAAGAAAGTGACTTTTATCGACTTCTTCTGGAGTTTAGAGACTCTGACATGAAGCAGGCTTTCCTTACTGAGGAGTTAGCAACGCTGCTAAGGGTGCAGAGCCACACATGCGCTCCGAGCTCTGCATGGGAGACTGAAGCTGACAGAGCTGCAGCAGTTAGCAGGTTTCACCCTCAGAGACCACCAGGGGTTCATGTTGAGGCATTTTAATTTTTTTTTTTTTTTTTGCCATAGACACTGTCAGCACAATCTGCAGTTACACTAACAAAAATGCTGCAAAAAACAAAGAATTATGGAAAAATTACACATGGACTAACATAGAGGAGGATCTACACAAGTTTTTTACATCATGTTTTACATCATGCATCATTTACATCATGTTTTTTTGTAGTGGCATAAATAAAAAGTGACATTTGTGAGACTATACAGTGTTTTGTAAATAATTTTACAAAGAACACCTGGGCCATTGCCTGCATTTTGATGTCAATAGAGGTAAATTACTATGTTCTTTGTTAAAAATTTGCATATGTTTTGAAGTTTACAATTTTTATTTGAAGTTTAAGTTTTAAAAACAGTTCATCACACATATTTGTGGTTTTCACAGTAAAAACGTTACTTTTTTCCACTCGGATTTTATGTTTTGTGTGTGAATTTGGGTCCAATGTGTAAATATAGTATGTCAAAATGATAAAATAACTGTAAATTCACACAGGTGAGGTTGTGCTCTAGGCGACCCCTAGAACGTAAACCGTGGGGTGCAGCGTCATGATTTTTACAACTTTGAATAGCCATGGGGTGTAGATTGGCCTGAGCAAATTTGGTGCCGGTGGAACGAAAGCCTTAGGAGGAGTTAGCGAAATTCCAATGTGTGCGGATCGGCAAAAATGCGAAATAGCCCTTTAACCGTACATTTGACAGATACGCCCGCATTGACTTTTTTGTAGATCTTATTGAGATACACGTGTGTGTCGAGTTTTGTGTCATTTTGACAAAACATACAGGCGTAGCACTCAACAATGTGTATTTTCACCTTAGTGGACAAGAAAAACTTGACTTTATTCTCCTGCCATGGGGGGGCGCTCTTTTAAAGAGAAAAAACTCCTTCACAAATGTGTTGATGGCTGGACATTGCATCATCCTAGAAAACATGGAGGCCAGTGAGGACAAAAATAAAAAGTTATAAGACTTTTAAATATGTGGATTTTAGGGTTATATTTGGCGGCCCCTAGAACCTAAACCGTGGGGTGCAGCGTCATGATTTGAATAACTTTTAATGGCCATGGGGTGTAGATTGGCCTGAGCAAATGTGGTGCCGGTGGAACGAAAGCCTTCGGAGGAATTAGCGAAATTCCAATGTGTGCGAATCTGCAAAAAATGCGAAATAACCCTTTAACCGTACATTTTACAGATACGTGGCCATTGACTTTTTCGAAGATCTTATTGAAATACACGTGTATGTAAAATTTTGTGTCAATACGACAAAACATACAGGCGTAGCACTCAACAATGTGTATTTTCACCTTAGTGGACAAGAAAAAATTGACTTTTTTCTCCTGCCATGGGGGGCGCTCTTTTGCCGAGTAAAAATTCCTTCACAAATGTGTTGATGGCTGGACATTGCATCATCCTAGAAAACTTGGAGGCCAGTGGGGACAAAAATAAAAAGTTATAAGACTTTTAAATATGTGGATTTTACGGTTATCTTTGGCTCCCCCTAGAACCTAAACCGTGGGGTGCAGCGTCATGATTTGAATAACTTTTAATGGCCATGGGGTGTAGATTGGCCTGAGCAAATGTGGTGCCGGTGGAACGAAAGCCTTCGGAGGAGTTAGCGAAATTCCAATGTGTGCGGATCGGCAAAAAATGCGGAATAACCCTTTAACCGTACATTTGACAGATACGCGCGCATTGACTTTTTCGTAGATCTTATTGAGATACATGTGTGTGTCAATTTTTGTGTCATTTTGCCAAAGCGTACAGGTGTTACACTCAACAATGTGTATTTTCACCTTAGGGGACAAGAAAAAATGGACTTTTTTCTCCTGCCATGGGGGGGCGCTCTTTTGGGGAGTAAAAATTCCTTCACAAATGTGTTGATGGCTGGACATTGCATCATCCTAGAAAACTTGGAGGCCAGTGAGGGCAAAAATAAAAAGTTATAAGACTTTTAAATATGTGGATCTTAGGGTTATCTTTGGCGCCCCCTAGAACCTAAACCGTGGGGTGCAGCGTCATGATTTGAATAACTTTTAATGGCCATGGGGTGTAGATTGGCCTGAGCAAATGTGGTGCCGGTGGAACGAAAGCCTTCGGAGGAGTTAGCGAAATTCCAATGTGTGCGGATCGGCAAAAAATGCGAAATAACCCTTTAACCGTACATTTGACAGATACGCCCGCACTGACTTTTTTGTAGATCTTATTGAGATACATGTGTGTGTCAATTTTTGTGTCATTTTGACAAAGCGTACCGGCGTGACAGTGAATAGTGTGAATTTTCACCTTAGGGGGCGCTATGGAGCCATTTTGCATTTTCTTGTTTGGGCGACTTCGGAATATCAAATTTTTCACCAGGCCCGGTCGTCCTGCCAAATTTCATGAGTTTTCGCCAGTGGGAAGTGGGCCATTTTCCAGTTCAAAGGGGAGGAAAAATAATAATAACAAAAGAAGGAAACTACAGGAACAAGAGGGCTCTCGCAGCTGCTTAGCAGCTACGCTCGGGCCCTAAAGAAAGAAAGAAAGAAAGAAAGAAACAAAGAAAAACCACTTGGGGAATAATAGGGCCTACGCCCGGCTGCTCTGCAGCTGGCTCGGGCCCTAACTAGGACCCCGTTGGGGCACTGGCGGGCCCGAGCCGTGTCGCCCCCCCCCCCCCCAACGTGCTTCCTCCCCGTCCCATTTGTGTCCCCTGGCCATCGCCCTCTCTGGTAACGCCCATCACTGCAAAGACCCTTTTCCTTCATCGGCGTTTGCTGTTCTTCCTGCCAGTGCGTGTTGCTTTCACTTACACTTGCCACAGCCAGCCTCGTGAGTGCCTAGCCTATTCGATATCACTGTCACCTACACAGGACAGTCATTACCTTTCTATTAATACTTTGTGTTTTAATTTCACATTAATTTCCATATTGTATAAACGACTGGAAAAAACTTGAGCCCCTGCCCCTGTATAATCATGTGCATGTCTCTGTTCTAGCTCCAAGGTGAATCTTCACTGCTCATGTTCTCCTCAGAAGCACTCACCTCACTCCCCTCAGGTTACTGTACACATGCACCAACTGCCTGCTTCAGGTTTGGATGGAGCTTCATGGTTGTCTTTTGGAGAAATGACCAGTCAAGTTGTGTTTGAAATTTGATTTTTTTCAGGGGCAAAAGGAGCCTCTGCATTCTTGTCAAATATGTAAATAGCATGTTTTTGCAGGTGCTAAAAACCAGACTCTGAGTGTGTGTGTGTGTGTGTGTGTGTGCGTGTGTGTGTGTCTGTGTGTGCGTTCAAGTCACATGACATATTTAACCGGATGTAGCTGCAAGACGGAGCCTCGTTGACTCTCCGTTTCAACTTATCTCAAAAGTGAGGACCTCAACCTATATACCAGTTTTTAAATTGTGTTGATAGGCCAAATAAAACCAGAGTTATGATAAATTATGTCCGCGATACTTGTTTTCTGCTTATTTTGATCACGTTCGGCGCTCGATCGCGCTGTATGAGACAGGAAAACATAGCATGCAGACATTAGCGACAGGTCTTACAGGCGGAAAAGGCTTGCCAAAAGAAAAAAAAAACACACCACAACATCTCTCCTATTGGTGGAAAACTTCACCACAACAACCAATCCAAAATTATATGGTGACTGATTGACAAGGGGCGGGTGCTTACGTTCTTCCTGCAACATGAGAAGCGAGGGAGGGACTCTCAGCAGGGATGCAGTCTGGGACACGTAGTTGCAAACCTAGCGACTTTGTTGTTAGATTCAATGACTTTTCAGACCCCCTAACGACTTTTTTTTTAGAAAGAAAGGGACTTTTATCGACTTCTTCTGGAGTTTAGAGACTCTGACATGAAGCAGGCTTTCCTTACTGAGGAGTTAGCAACGCTGCTAAGGGTGCAGAGCCACACATGCGCTCAGAGCTCTGCATGGGAGACTGAAGCTGACAGAGCTGCAGCAGTTAGCAGGTTTCACCCTCAGAGACCACCAGGGGTTCATGTTGAGGCATTTTAATTTTTTTTTTTTTGTGCCATAGACACTGTCAGCACAATCTGCAGTTACACTAACAAAAATGCTGCAAAAAACAAAGAATTATGGAAAAATTACACATGGACTGACATAGAGGAGGATCTACACAAGTTTTTTACATCATGTTTTACATCATGCATCATTTACATCATGTTTTTTTGTAGTGGCATAAATAAAAAGTGACATTTGTGAGATTATACAGTGTTTTGTAAATAATTTTACAAAGAACGCCTGGGCCATTGCCTGCATTTTGATGTAAATAGAGGTAAATTACTATGTTCTTTGTTAAAAATTTGCATATGTTTTGAAGTTTACAATTTTTATTTGAAGTTTAAGTTTTAAAAACAGTTCATCACACATATTTGTGGTTTAATTTCACATTAATTTCCATATTGTATAAATGACTGGAAAAAACTTGAGCCCCTGCCCCTGTATAATCATGTGCACGTCCCTGTTCTAGCTCCAAGGTGAATCTTCACTGCTCATGTTCTCCTCAGAAATAGTCACCTCACTCCCCTCAGGTTACTGTACACATGCACCAACTATCTGCTTCAGGTTTGAAATGGAGCTTCATGGTTGTCTTTTGGAGAAATGAACAGTCAAGTTGTGTTTGAAATTTGATTTTTTTCAGGGGCAAAAGGAAGCCTCTGCATTCTTGTCAAATATGTAAACAGCATGTTTTTGCAGGTGCTAAAAAACAGACTCTGAGTGTGTGTGTGTGTCTGTGTGTGTGTGTGTGTGTGTGTGTGTGTGTGTGTGTGTATGTTGGCGTGTGTGTATATGTGTGTGTATCCTGCAGTACTCTGTACTCCTGCAGTGGCCAAAAAGACTTTTAAGAATGTGGATTTTTGGGTCATCTTTGGCGCCCCCTAGAACTGCAGTACTCTGTACTCCTGCAGTGGCCAAAATGACTTTTAAGAATGTGGATTTTTGGGTCATCTTTGGCGCCCCCTAGAACGTAAACCGTGGGGTGCAGCGTCATGATTTTTACAACTTTGAATGGGCATGGGGTGTAGATTGCCCTGAGCAAATTTGGTATCGGTGGGACGAAAGCCTTAGGAGGAGATAGCCACATTCCAATGTGTGCGAATCGGCAAAAAATGCAAAATAGCCCTTTAACCGTACATTATACAGATACGCGCTCTTTGACTTTTTCGTAGATCTAATTGAGATACACATGATTGTCAATTTTTGTGTCAATATGACAAAGCGTTCAGGCGTGACACTCAACAATGTGTATTTTTATGTAAGGGGACAAGAAAAAATTGACTTTTTTCTCCTACCATGGGGGGGCGCTCTTTTGGGGAGTAAAAATTCCTTCACAAATGTGTTGATGGCTGGACATTGCATCATCCTAGAAAACTTGGAGGCCAGTGAGGACAAAAATAAAAAGTTATAAAACATTTAAGAATGTGGATTTTTGGGTTATTTTTGGCGCCCCCTAGAACCTAAACCATGGGGTGCAGCATCATGATTTGAATAACTTTTAATGGCCATGGGGTGTAGATTGGCCTGAGCAAATGTGGTGCCGGTGGAACGAAAGCCTTCGGAGGAGTTAGCGAAATTCCAATGTGTGCGTATCGGCAAAAAATGCGGAATAACCCTTTAACTGTACATTTGACAGATACGCGCGCATGGACTTTTTTGTAGATCTTATTGAGTTACATGTGTGTGTCAATTTTTGTGTCATTTTGACAAAGCGTATAGGCGTGACACTCAACAATGTGTATTTTCACCTTAGGGGACAAGAAAAAATGGACTTTTTTCTCCTGCCATGGGGGGGCGCTCTTTTGGGGAGTAAAAATTCCTTCACAAATGTGTTGATGGCTGGACATTGCATCATCCTAGAAAACTTGGAGGCCAGTGAGGACAAAAATAAAAAGTTATAAGAATTTTAAATATGTGGATTTTAGTGTTATCTTTGGCGCCCCCTAGAACCTAAACCTTGGGGTGCAGCGTCATGATTTTGATAACTTTTAGTGGCCACGGGGTGTAGATTGGCCTGAGCAAATGTGGTGCCGGTGGAACGAAAGCCTTCGGAGGAGTTAGCGAAATTCCAATGTGTGCGGATCGGCAAAAAATGCGAAATAACCCTTTAACCGTAATTTTGACAGATACGGCCGCACTGACTTTTTTGTAGATCTTATTGAGATACATATGTGTGTCAATTTTTGTGTCAATATGACAAAGCGTACAGGCGTGACAGTCAATAGTGTGAATTTCCACCTTAGGGGGCGCTATGGAGCCATTTTGCATTTTATTGTTTGGGCGACTTCAGAATATCGAATTTTTCACCAGGCCCGGTCGTCCTGCCAAATTTCATGAGTTTTCGCCAGTGGGAAGTGGGCCATTTTCCAGTTCAAAGGGGAGGAAAAAGAAGAAAGAAAGAAAGAAAGAAAGAAACAAAGAAAAACCCATTGGGGAATAATAGGGCCTACGCCCGGCTGCTCTGCAGCTGGCTCGGGCCCTAATAATAACAAAAGAAGGAAACATGCAGGAACAAGAGGGCTCTCGCAGCTGCTTAGCAGCTACGCTCGGGCCCTAAGAAAGAAAGAAAGAAAGAAAGAAAGAAAGAAACAAAGAAAAACCACTTGGGGAATAATAGGGCCTACGCCCGGCTGCTCTGCAGCTGGCTCCGGGCCCTAAGAAAGAAAGAAACAAAGAACTAGGACCCCGTTGGGGCACTGGCGGGCCCGAGCTGTGTCGCGTCCCCCCCCCAACGCGCTGCCTCCCCGTCCCATTTGTGTCCTCTGGCCATCGTCCTCTCTGGTAACGCCCATCACTGCAAAGACCCTTTTCCTTCATCGGCGTTTGCTGTTCTTCCTGCCAGTGCGTGTTGCTTTCACTTACACTTGCCACAGCCAGCCTCTTGAGTGCCTAGCCTATTGGATATCACTGTCACCTACTCAGGACAGTCATTACCTTTCTATTAATACTTTGTTTTTTAATTTCACATTAATTTCCATATTGTATAAACAACTGGAAAAAACTTGAGCCCCTGCCCCTGTATAATCATGTGCACGTCTCTGTTCTAGCTCTAAGGTGAATCTTCACTGCTCATGTTCTCCTCAGAAGCAGTCACCTCACTCCCCTCAGGTTACTGTACACATGCACCAACTGCCTGCTTCAGGTTTGGATGGAGCTTCATGGTTGTCTTTTGGAGAAATGACCAGTCAAGTTGTGTTTGAAATTTGATTTTTTTCAGGGGCAAAAGGAGCCTCTGCATTCTTGTCAAATATGTAAATAGCATGTTTTTGCAGGTGCTAAAAACCAGACTCTGAGTGTGTGTGTGTGTGCGTGTGTGTGTGTGTCTGTGTGTGTGTGTGTGTGTGTGTGTGTGTGTGTGTGTGTGTGCGTTCAAGTCACATGACATATTTAACCGGATGTAGCTGCAAGACGGAGCCTCGTTGACTCCGTTTCAACTTATCTCAAAAGTGAGGACCTCAACCTATATACCAGTTTTTAAATTGTGTTGATAGGCCAAATAAAACCAGAGTTATGATAAATTATGTCCGCGATACTTGTTTTCTGCTTATTTTGATCACGTTCGGCGCTCGATCGCGCTGTATGAGACAGGAAAACATAGCATGCAGACATTAGCGACAGGTCTTACAGGCGGAAAAGGCTTGCCAAAGGAAAAAAAAAACACACCACAACATCTCTCCTATTGGTGGAAAACTTCACCACAACAACCAATCCAAAATTATATGGTGACTGATTGACAAGGGGCGGGCGCTTACGTTCTTCCTGCAACATGAGAAGGGAGGGAGGGACTCTCAGCAGGGATGCAGTCTGGGACACGTAGTTGCAAACCTAGCGACTTTGTTGTTAGATTCAATGACTTTTCAGACCCCCTAAAGACTTTTTTTTTAGAAAGAAAGTGACTTTTATCGACTTCTTCTGGAGTTTAGAGACTCTGACATGAAGCAGGCTTTCCTTACTGAGGAGTTAGCAACGCTGCTAAGGGTGCAGAGCCACACATGCGCTCCGAGCTCTGCATGGGAGACTGAAGCTGACATAGCTGCAGCAGTTAGCAGGTTTCACCCTCAGAGACCACCAGGGGTTCATGTTGAGGCATTTTCAGTTTTTTTTTTTTTTTTTGCCATAGACACTGTCAGCACAATCTGCAGTTACACTAACAAAAATGCTGCAAAAAACAAAGAATTATGGAAAAATTACACATGGACTAACATAGAGGAGGATCTACACAAGTTTTTTACATCATGTTTTACATCATGCATCATTTACATCATGTTTTTTTGTAGTGGCATAAATAAAAAGTGACATTTGTGAGACTATACAGTGTTTTGTAAATAATTTTACAAAGAACACCTGGGCCATTGCCTGCATTTTGATGTAAATAGAGGTAAATCACTATGTTCTTTGTTAAAAATTTGCATATGTTTTGAAGTTTACAATTTTTATTTGAAGTTTAAGTTTTAAAAACAGTTCATCACACATATTTGTGGTTTTCACAGTAAAAATGTTACTTTTTTCCACTCGGATTTTATGTTTTGTGTGTGAATTTGGGTCCATTGTGTAAATTCAGTATGTCAACATGATAAAATAACTGTAAATTCACACAGGTGAGGTTGTGCTGAAAAAAATGATACCAGGCAAGGCACGTGATTGTCAAATTTTGTGTCAATATGACAAAGCGTATAGGCGTGAATCTCAACAATATGTATTTTCACCTTAGGGGACAAGAAAAAATGGACTTTTTTCTCCTGCCATGGGGGGGCGCTCTTTTGGGGAGTAAAAATTCCTTCACAAATGTGTTGATGGCTGGACATTGCATCATCCTAGAAAACTTGGAGGCCAGTGAGGGCAAAAATAAAAAGTTATAAGACTTTTAAATATGTGGATTTTAGGGATATCTTTGGCGCCCCCTAGAACCTAAACCGTGGGGTGCAGCGTCATGATTTGAATAACTTTTAATGGCCATGGGGTGTAGATTGGCCTGAGCAAATGTGGTGCCGGTGGAACGAAAGCCTTCGGAGGAGTTAGCGAAATTCCAATGTGTGCGGATCGGCAAAAAATGCGAAATAACCCTTTAACCGTACATTTGACAGATACGCGCGCGTGGACTTTTTTGTAGATCTTATTGAGATACATGTGTGTGTCAATTTTTGTGTCATTTTGACAAAGCGTACAGGCGTGACAGTCAATAGTGTGAATTTTAACCTTAGGGGACAAGAAAAAATGGACTTTTTTCTCCTGCCATGGGGGGGCGCTCTTTTGGGGAGTAAAAATTCCTTCACAAATGTGTTGATGGCTGGACATTGCATCATCCTAGAAAACTTGGAGGCCAGTGAGGGCAAAAATAAAAAGTTATAAGACTTTTAAATATGTGGATTTTAGGGTTATCTTTGGCGCCCCCTAGAACCTAAACCGTGGGGTGCAGCGTCATGATTTTGATAACTTTTAATGGCCATGGGGTGTAGATTGGCCTGAGCAAATGTGGTGCCGGTGGAACGAAAGCCTTAGGAGGAGTTAGCCACATTCCAATGTGTGCGGATCGGCAAAAAATGCGGAATAACCCTTTAACCGTACATTTGACAGATACGCGCGCGTGGACTTTTTTGTAGATCTTATTGAGATACATGTGTGTGTCAATTTTTGTGTCATTTTGACAAAGCGTACAGGCGTGACAGTCAATAGTGTGAATTTTCACCTTAGGGGACAAGAAAAAATGGACTTTTTTCTCCTGCCATGGGGGGGCGCTCTTTTGGGGAGTAAAAATTCCTTCACAAATGTGTTGATGGCTGGACATTGCATCATCCTAGAAAACTTGGAGGCCAGTGAGGGCAAAAATAAAAAGTTATAAGACTTTTAAATATGTGGATCTTAGGGTTATCTTTGGCGCCCCCTAGAACCTAAACCTTGGGGTGCAGCGTCATGATTTTGATAACTTTTAATGGCCACGGGGTGTAGATTGGCCTGAGCAAATGTGGTGCCGGTGGAACGAAAGCCTTCGGAGGAGTTAGCGAAATTCCAATGTGTGCGGATCGGCAAAAAATGCGAAATAACCCTTTAACCGTAATTTTGACAGATACGGCCGCACTGACTTTTTTGTAGATCTTATTGAGATACATATGTGTGTCAATTTTTGTGTCAATATGACAAAGCGTACAGGCGTGACAGTCAATAGTGTGAATTTCCACCTTAGGGGGCGCTATGGAGCCATTTTGCATTTTATTGTTTGGGCGACTTCAGAATATCGAATTTTTCACCAGGCCCGGTCGTCCTGCCAAATTTCATGAGTTTTCGCCAGTGGGAAGTGGGCCATTTTCCAGTTCAAAGGGGAGGAAAAAGAAGAAAGAAAGAAAGAACTAGGACCCCGTTGGGGCACTGGCGGGCCCGAGCCGTGTCGCCCCCCCCCCCCCCCCAACGTGCTGCCTCCCCGTCCCATTTGTGTCCTCTGGCCATCGCCCTCTCTGGTAACGCCCATCACTGCAAAGACCCTTTTCCTTCATCGGCGTTTGCTGTTCTTCCTGCCAGTGCGTGTTGCTTTCACTTACACTTGCCACAGCCAGCCTCGTGAGTGCCTAGCCTATTGGATATCACTGTCACCTACACAGGACAGTCATTACCTTTCTATTAATACTTTGTGTTTTAATTTCACATTAATTTCCATATTGTATAAACGACTGGAAAAAACTTGAGCCCCTGCCCCTGTATAATCATGTGCATGTCTCTGTTCTAGCACCAAGGTGAATCTTCACTGCTCATGTTCTCCTCAGAAGCACTCACCTCACTCCCCTCAGGTTATTGTACACATGCACCAACTGCCTGCTTCAGGTTTGGATGGAGCTTCATGGTTGTCTTTTGGAGAAATGACCAGTCAAGTTGTGTTTGAAATTTGATTTTTTTCAGGGGCAAAAGGAGCCTCTGCATTCTTGTCAAATATGTAAATAGCATGTTTTTGCAGGTGCTAAAAACCAGACTCTGAGTGTGTGTGTGTGTGTGTGTGTGTGTGTGTGTGTGTGTGTGTGTGTGTGTGTGTGTGTGTGTGCGTGTGTCTGTGTGTGCGTTCAAGTCACATGACATATTTAACCGGATGTAGCTGCAAGACGGAGCCTCGTTGACTCTCCGTTTCAACTTATCTCAAAAGTGAGGACCTCAACCTATATACCAGTTTTTAAATTGTGTTGATAGGCCAAATAAAACCAAAGTTATGATAAATTATGTCCGCGATACTTTTTTTCTGCTTATTTTGATCACGTTCGGCGCTCGATCGCGCTGTATGAGACAGGAAAACATAGCATGCAGACATTAGCGACAGGTCTTACAGGCGGAAAAGGCTTGCCAAAAGAAAAAAAAAACACACCACAACATCTCTCCTATTGGTGGAAAACTTCACCACAACAACCAATCCAAAATTATATGGTGACTGAATGACAAGGGGCGGGCGCTTACGTTCTTCCTGCAACATGAGAAGGGAGGGAGGGACTCTCAGCAGGGATGCAGTCTGGGACACGTAGTTGCAAACCTAGCGACTTTGTTGTTAGATTCAATGACTTTTCAGACCCCCTAACGACTTTTTTTTTAGAAAGAAAGGGACTTTTATCGACTTCTTCTGGAGTTTAGAGACTCTGACATGAAGCAGGCTTTCCTTACTGAGGAGTTAGCAACGCTGCTAAGGGTGCAGAGCCACACATGCGCTCAGAGCTCTGCATGGGAGACTGAAGCTGACAGAGCTGCAGCAGTTAGCAGGTTTCACCCTCAGAGACCACCAGGGGTTCATGTTGAGGAATTTTAATTTTTTTCTTTTTTGTGCCATAGACACTGTCAGCACAATCTGCAGTTACACTAACAAAAATGCTGCAAAAAACAAAGAATTATGGAAAAATTACACATGGACTGACATAGAGGAGGATCTACACAAGTTTTTTACATCATGTTTTACATCATGCATCATTTACATCATGTTTTTTTGTAGTGGCATAAATAAAAAGTGACATTTGTGAGACTATACAGTGTTTTGTAAATAATTTTACAAAGAACGCCTGGGCCATTGCCTGCATTTTGATGTAAATAGAGGTAAATCACTATGTTCTTTGTTAAAAATTTGCATATGTTTTGAAGTTTACAATTTTTATTTGAAGTTTAAGTTTTAAAAACAGTTCATCACACCTATTTGTGGTTTTCACAGTAAAAATGTTACTTTTTTCCACTCGGATTTTATGTTTTGTGTGTGAATTTGGGTCCATTGTGTAAATTCAGTATGTCAACATGATAAAATAACTGTAAATTCGCACAGGTGAGGTTGTGCTGAAAAAAATGATACCAGGCAAGGCACGTGATTGTCAAATTTTGTGTCAATATGACAAAGCGTATAGGCGTGAATCTCAACAATATGTATTTTCACCTTAGGGGACAAGAAAAAATGGACTTTTTTCTCCTGCCATGGGGAGGCGCTCTTTTGGGGAGTAAAAATTCCTTCACAAATGTGTTGATGGCTGGACATTGCATCATCCTAGAAAACTTGGAGGCCAGTGAGGACAAAAATAAAAAGTTATAAGACTTTTAAATATGTGGATTTTAGGGTTGTCTTTGGCGCCCCCTAGAACCTAAACCGTGGGGTGCAGCGTCATGATTTGAATAACTTTTAATGGCCATGGGGTGTAGATTGGCCTGAGCAAATGTGGTGCCGGTGGACAGAAAGCCTTCGGAGGAGTTAGCGAAATTCCAATGTGTGCGGATCGGCAAAAAATGCGGAATAACCCTTTAACCGTACATTTGACAGATACGCGCGCATTGACTTTTTCGTAGATCTTATTGAGATACACGTGATTGTCAAATTTTGTGTCAATATGACAAAGCGTATAGGCGTGACACTCAACAATGTGTATTTTCACCTTAGGGGACAAGAAAAAATGGACTTTTTTCTCCTGCCATGGGGGGCGCTCTTTTGGGGAGTAAAAATTCCTTCACAAATGTGTTGATGGCTGGACATTGCATCATCCTAGAAAACTTGGAGGCCAGTGAGGACAAAATTAAAAAGTTATAAGACTTTTAAATATGTGGATTTTAGTGTTATCTTTGGCGCCCCCTAGAACCTAAACCTTGGGGTGCAGCGTCATGATTTTGATAACTTTTAATGGCCACGGGGTGTAGATTGGCCTGAGCAAATGTGGTGCCGGTGGAACGAAAGCCTTCGGAGGAGTTAGCGAAATTCCAATGTGTGCGGATCGGCAAAAAATGCGAAATAACCCTTTAACCGTAATTTTGACAGATACGGCCGCACTGACTTTTTTGTAGATCTTATTGAGATACATATGTGTGTCAATTTTTGTGTCAATATGACAAAGCGTACAGGCGTGACAGTCAATAGTGTGAATTTTCACCTTAGGGGGCGCTATGGAGCCATTTTGCATTTTATGGTTTGGGCGACTTCAGAATATCAAATTTTTCACCAGGCCCGGTCGTCCTGCCAAATTTCATGAGTTTTCGCCAGTGGGAAGTGGGCCATTTTCCAGTTCAAAGGGGAGGAAAAAGAAAAAGAAAGAAAGAAACAAAGAAAAACCAATTGGGGAATAATAGGGCCTACGCCCGGCTGCTCTGCAGCTGGCTCGGGCCCTAACTAGGACCCCGTTGGGGCACTGGCGGGCCCGAGCCGTGTCGCGTCCCCCCCCCAACGTGCTGCCTCCCCGTCCCATTTATGTCCTCTGGCCATCGCCCTCTCTGGTAACGCCCATCACTGCAAAGACCCTTTTCCTTCATCGGCGTTTGCTGTTCTTCCTGCCAGTGCGTGTTGCTTTCACTTACACTTGCCACAGCCAGCCTCGTGAGTGCCTAGCCTATTGGATATCACTGTCACCTACACAGGACAGTCATTACCTTTCTATTAATACTTTGTGTTTTAATTTCACATTAATTTCCATATTGTATAAACGACTGGAAAAAACTTGAGCCCCTGCCCCTGTATAATCATGTGCATGTCTCTGTTCTAGCTCCAAGGTGAATCTTCACTGCTCATGTTCTCCTCAGAAGCACTCACCTCACTCCCCTCAGGTTACTGTACACATGCACCAACTGCCTGCTTCAGGTTTGGATGGAGCTTCATGGTTGTCTTTTGGAGAAATGACCAGTCAAGTTGTGTTTGAAATTTGATTTTTTTCAGGGGCAAAAGGAGCCTCTGCATTCTTGTCAAATATGTAAATAGCATGTTTTTGCAGGTGCTAAAAACCAGACTCTGAGTGTGTGTGTGTGTGTGTGTGTGTGTGTGTGTGCGTGTGTGTGTGTCTGTGTGTGCGTTCAAGTCACATGACATATTTAACCGGATGTAGCTGCAAGACGGAGCCTTGTTGACGCTCCGTTTCAACTTATCTCAAAAGTGAGGACCTCAACCTATATACCAGTTTTTAGATTGTGTTGATAGGCCAAATAAAACCAGAGTTATGATAAATTATGTCCGTGATACTTTTTTTCTGCTTATTTTGATCACGTTCGGCGCTCGATCGCGCTGTATGAGACAGGAAAACATAGCATGCAGACATTAGCGACAGGTCTCACAGGCGGAAAAGGCTTGCCAAAAGAAAAAAAAACACACCACAACATCTCTCCTATTGGTGGAAAACTTCACCACAACAACCAATCCAAAATTATATGGTGACTGATTGACAAGGGGCGGGCGCTTACGTTCTTCCTGCAACATGAGAAGCGAGGGAGGGACTCTCAGCAGGGATGCAGTCTGGGACACGTAGTTGCAAACCTAGCGACTTTGTTGTAGATTCAATGACTTTTCAGACCCCCTAACGACTTTTTTTTAGAAAGAAAGGGACTTTTATCGACTTCTTCTGGA